CCCCTGTAAATACCACTAAACATCAACCCTCTCACCCCCCTCCCTCTTCCCCCCGACCCTCCTCACCCCATCCCCAAACTCCTGCCTCAACCGCTCATCAACAGCCGCCATCAACTCTAACTGTTCCGTCTCCGTTAGCGGTTTCGCGTCCCCCTTTCTCTTGGCCCAGCTCTCCTCTGTCTCCTTGAGTCTCACATCAACCTGCACCTCCCTATCCCCATTTCTGTCTTCTTCCTCCTCCCTCTTAGCCTCAGCAACAAGTTCATAACTCCTCCACTCGGTATTCTCCCACCCCGTGCCCTTGTTCAAATCCATCCCGTCAAAGTCTTGCGTCAGGAAATGTAGAAAGCCGCCGTGGGTTACCACTACGATGTGCTTTTCTTGCTGCTCCTGTTCCTCTCCGTTGTTGCCATCGGCCTGCGATTCTGCCCCAGCGTTAGCGCCAGCAGCGCCAGCAGCAACCCCCGAAGAAGAAGAGGGGTACGACTGAGCCAACTCAAACAACCACCTCCTAGCCCTCTCCGCCCTTTTTTTGAGCTTTTCCATATCCGGCCTCCACGGACTTGCCTCGCTCTCCTTATCCTGCCACCCCTCCTTTACCAGGTCCAAACCCACCAGTGCCCCAGCGGGGTCAAACTCCTCGTGCAACTTTTCCGGGCTACTTCCCACATCACACGGCAAGTTCGACACCTCCTGTACTTCGGGTAGGGCTATCACCACCCCTTTTCCGTTCTTTCCCTTGGCCAAACGCTCAACAGCAGGTTGGAAACTCAACAAGCACGTATAAAGTGTGCGGCGCATGGGCGAGGCCACGAGGTGGGTGATTTTGTCGTGGTAAGGGAAGGAGTCCCGGAGAGCAGAACATTGGGATTCGCCGAGGGGGGTGAGGGATGGGTCGGGCAGGGCGTGGTTGGCTGCGCAGAGGTTGTGGTGCCCCTGGGCGTGGCGGACGAGGTGAACTATGGTCTTGGGTGGCATATTAATGATGTGGATGTGGTTGACGGTGAGGTTGGTGTGCGGTGGGATTGTTTGGATGTTGAGGTGAAGATGGTATGTGGTGAGGTTCTCAAGGCGTTGGGAGATATGTGGATTGGGTGGTGATGTTTTCAGAGAGTAGGTTGCAAAAAGATAGTAGAGTGTTGTCAGGAGCAATGTTGGGTTGAGTATGAGTCAGTACTTTGTAGTTGGTCAAGATCGATGACTAACAAAGGATGAGTCAAAGTTGAGGAAAAGGTTCTTGGGAACGGGGAAAAGTCATGAAACGCACAGCGAAGATTTGGAACAACGAATACGTCCCACGGCTTCCCGGATTGTCCTAGTCTCGGCAACTTTTGATACGGTCGATCAGAGGCGATCGTCGGACCGAAAGACAATGAAGGCAACGCCGACAAGCGACGAACCCTCAGGGTTCTCAACCGATCTTGGTCCGTTCTCCGCATGCCGCATGAAACGGTTATGGGTCCGGAGTGGATCCGATACCTTCCCCGATTTTCAGGCCCGGGGTAAAAGACACCGAGGCGGGTCCAATTGATGTAAGCCGCAGCTCCGAATCAACGCCGAAGCCGTACACTACAGTTGCGAAAACACAAGACCACATTTATCAACCCTTCCGTATTTTGTAAATCCCATTAAGGGTTACAACTTTCAATTTACATATCTCGTGATACGTATAGCACCCTTTCGGTCTCAACCAACTCACCGGCTAGCCACATATGCAGTATCCTATCTACCGCGAATAGCTCCCGCGGACAACGCCATGCGAACAATGCATCACCATAACACAATCTCCAAAAGTGACGGATAGTCACCTCCCTCAAAGTTCAATAAGAGCTTCCTCAACCACGGGTTGCTTTGGGGCTGGCGCATGCTGGGGCGCTGAAGGGAACGCTTCCTGATTATACCCCGGATATGCCGGCGTCTGCTGAGGAGCCTGCCACACGGGTGGAAGAGGAGTCTGTTGCGCCGCTGAGTGCTGCCAGTATGGCTGTTGCAGAGCTTGCTGAGGTGGCGGTGCCTGTTGATGGGCTTGCTGTGGGGTTTGCGATGGCTGGACAGGTGCGGAAGCGGGCGTTTGTGGCACTGACTGCTGGTAAGAATGTCCTTGCTGAGGAAGGTTGGGATAACTGTGATCAGGGGTTGCCACCGGAGCTTGCTGCGCTGGCTGCTGTTGTTGCTGGGGCTGATTGGGGTTGTAATAATACAAGGCGTTCGGATCATTGTTAGGCGCAGTAGGAGCTGACTCCGGTGCACCTGGCTGCGCCTGTTGAACATGACCCGCTTGATTTGGAGCCGCCTCGTTACCTGGATAGTTGTACTGCGGTGCCTGAGCTGGAGGAGCATTGCCCCAGCTACCTGTCCTTTGTGGCATCTGTTGCTGAGGGTACTGAGGATTCGGCAGCCCAACCACGGAGCTTCGTCTATCGTATGGCATATACTGTGACTGTGGTTGCGGTGAAAATTGTCCATAGGGTGCGTGGCTGTAGTCAGGTTGCTGCTCGCCAGTATAAAAGTTTTCTGCTGTCCCAGGAGCGCTTGGAGCACTCGAGTCTAACGTAGGATAGGGTCCGGCAGGTTGTCGAGGAGCCGGAAGGTTGTACCCGCCGATAGTGTGCTGGCCATACGCCTTGGACAAACGTTCTTCAAGCATCCGGTCATAATAGCGGACGACGGTTGACAGTTTCGCATGAAGATCGAGAAGGGTATCTGTTTCTGTTAGCTTAGACCGTATACCCAGCCAATACGTGTAACTCACCATGTTTGCTCATCGTCTCTCCATAGGTCCGGGCAAGCTTCGGTCGTAGGGTACCGATAGAATCGTAAAGCTCTTGGATCTGGGGTTCACGCAAGATAGTTCCGGGTGGTTGCGTCTGGAGACGGTCCACCAGAGTAGCGAAAAGGTTGATGTTCTCGGCTTCAACAGGAGTAAGCTCATAGTCGTTCTTGGGAAGCGTAAAAGGGGCAGCCGTGGAAGAGCTTCCGACGCTAGACGTTTGTTCCTTGAGAGCGGCCGCATGTCTCTTCTTTTGCTCTTCCATATCTGCGAGCGAGGCGGCAATCGCAGCCTTGAGATCCTTATCTTCCTCCTCCGCAATCTTGGAAAGCGAGGTGGGCTGCTTATCCGCTCTCGGCTGTGTGTTGTTCGCCGGCTCCGAGTAACCACGAGAGTAACTCTTTACTTCCTCCAGACTCATAGCCAAAGCCCTCTTTAGGTCTTCGTCAAAGCTATCGTCCACTCGAGCGTCGCGTGGCTGCATCGACGAAGAGCTCTTATGCTTGTGGTGATGATGATGGCGACTTGATGAATGGTGGTGCTTTCGGTCGGACCCTCCGGATCTCCCACCCTTGTCGGTAAGTTTGGCGTAGCATCCATCGTCTACACGGACAGCCTGCATGATTCCGAGATGAGGCAGGGGAAGAGATTTGCTCGAACATTGCTGATCGAAGCAGTTGCCGCAGTTGCGACAATGGTGCTTTCTGTTGGTGAACGTGAAGGCGGTCCGGCATCTCATGCATACGTCCGAGTCAACCCATTCGGGGGGCTGTTGTTGTTCCTAGTTAGCCCTGGCACATGGTCACCAAGCCGCCTGTGAATAAGACCTACCGCGCTGCTATCGATCATGCTGCTTGCTACCGTCTGTTTAGGGGGGAAAGAATAGCCCTCCCTCTGAAGTGTCTTGTAGACCTCCCCGATATATGACAGTTCGTAGCGGCCTTCGGCAGCCATAGCCCATGACTGGATCAAATCGAGGATTTTGTTGCGGACATCGGGGTTCGGAGCGGCGGGACCAACGGCCTTGAGAAGGAGTACGAGGTTCTCCATGAACTCGCGGGAGGCGATCTCGGCAAGGAAATGTGCGCCACCATTTTTGACGCAGGTATCGGTAAGCTGGTGCCTGTTAGCATGACGCGGCCTGAGCGAGGGGTGGGACACGGTTGTAGCGGTGGGCATACGTTGAGGGCGCTCAGTTGTGTGTTTGGGTTCTTGTGGTTGATGCGCTTCTTGAGCGAGCGCATTGCCTCTTTGGGCTGGACGGTCTTGGAGCGAATGACATCGGAAATCTCGAGGTTGAGTGCAATATCTTCCCTATATGAGGAACCAGGACGAGTGAGATAGAGGTTCGTGCCAGAAGCGAGCAAGACCATGAGACGACACAACATACAAGCTGCTACTGGTGGCCTTTTCTATCTGCTCGTCAAGGGCAGTGTTGGCCCCCGAAGACCACCAACTCATCATCTTGACAGTTCTCTCAATTATGTGCTCTTGGTGGTTGGCGTCAAGCTGGACAGGTTGGAGATGGGGACGATATGGTCGTGTCGGTCGGTAATGGTGGAGGCGGGATGGTATTTCAGGTGGTTGGGTAGGTAGTTGTCGTCGTTTACCAGCCGAATGATTCAAAGTCCGTTGTCTTTTGAAGAAGACCCCCAGTACTGGGTTGCCGAGCAACTTCGCCGACCGATGATAGTATTATGAACGGGCCGATGTCGACCAAGTGGAAAGTACGAATATTGACTTGGATGAAGGAGACGGGAAGTAGTGAAAGATGGATGGATAGGATGCTAGCCACTTGACAATGAGTGAGTGCCTGTTGTTTGGTCGTCTGCCTGCCCGTTGGTTACGTATGAGCCTCGCAAGTACAGGCGGCATGAGCCCCGACCATCCATGCTCTGTTCCCGGCTCGTGCTTCAGATTCCCGCCCAAGCCCCCAAAGCGACCCAGTGCCTGTAGCGCATCCAAGGGCCGGGGTACGTACCTCCCCCATGTCGGTTCTTGCAGAAGCGGAGCTGCGGGGTCTTGTTTCCACGAAGCGACTTGGGTTGCCCTGGCCTGGACGCTGTGTTCAGGTGAGCTCCAGAGGTTCATCGCCGGTGATGCAATTGCTAGCTGTGTGTTGGATAGCGGCAACAATCAAATAGTGCTGGGCTAGTTAAAGCGTCAATACAGCTGCTTGAGTCTAACGGAACTCCCTATAAGCTTAACAGACCGCAGCTGAAGGGATATCTAGACGGACGCCAGGATGCAATCCATCCCGTCCCATGACGCATGCTCTTTGCCCCTGTTGGCTGTGTCCCCATCAACGGGCACGTTGGGGCGCCAGAGGGGATCCAGCCCAGGAAGTTCCCAAAGACAACAAGTCAATAACCCCCACCAAGAAACCCCCCGAGACTGACCGTAACCCTTTCCTTGGCCAAACACCTTCCGCCTCCTCGATATTAACTGTGGAATGATCTACCCAAGGAAGCTTCAGTTCATCCGAGAAGCCGAAAAAGACACGAGAGAACCGGTCACCCGTTCGCTGCGCTGACGTCCAGTTACGACTCGTGAGCTAAGGACAAGGAATCAACAGGCTGCCACTCATGGTCCCGTCTTCGATCCATCGTCATCCTGTCCCTCCTCTCCACGAACCACCCATTGCTTCCCGTTCCAAGGCGACCAAGAAGTCAACGACAACGCATAATCAGACCCTTGACTATATATCAGCAGCATACTCTTCATAATACCCGCGAACGCGCTCGATCGTCTTTATATATTGCCGAAGCGCCACCCTTTGCGCGCGCAGCATACCTCAGCATCTGCGGCGCGCCATAGTAACTAGACATCAACACTTTGCGCTTTGCGCTCCCGGGTGTGCCCACGGACACCATTCATATTTGTGACGGAATATGGCTGGATCTGCGACCATGCTTGATCATGCAACATCTTCGCATCCCGTCAACGGACAGAATGGCCACGTAATAGGAGGCTTGGACGGCACAAATGATGGTGGACAAGGCAGGATAGTCAACGGAGGGGGAGGAAATGGGGCAGGCGCCGGAGGAAGCAAACGGCCACCAATGCCACACATCGACGACATCAAGGCTGTTACAGTCAGCATAGACCCCGCGACCCCGATTGAAAGCGCTCTCAAGCTTGCCGAGGAAGCCCTCCAGCAGGCCAAAGCCTTCCAGTCCTTTGGCAGGATTGACATGGCTTTCAAGTCCTACATAAAGGCCAACATCATAGCTCTCGATATCATACCGAAGAATAGGGACTGGCCGGTGCTGGAACGAACCCGACCGAACGTATACATGCGACACCAACATCTCCTCCGCCAGATCAAGTGTCTGATTCAGGACTTTGACAAGATCAAAGCACAGATCAAACAGGATAACGCCAGAACGGGTGCCCAGCCGCTATTAGGCAGCCCAAATCAGCAGAAAATGCCCAGTGTTGGAAACGGTCATACGAGATCACACTCGAATTTCTCGTCAAATACCACAAGTCCCAACAGTTCAGTCTACAGCTCGCCTCAACAACGTACGAATGCCTTGCCAGTTCAGTCAGGATGGGCCTCGCCTGGGAGGTCCAAGCCGGCCGTACACCCCAAACCTCAGGCTCTCCACGGGCATACGCTTCAACAGTTTGGAGGTCCAGCGCCGCCACCCACCAATAATGCTGCCCAGGACCTCGCTCTACGCTTTGCAAAACTTCGAGCAAACACCGCCAGCACCCCGAGTCCGACCAACACAACAGCAGTACAGGATCCGCGAATTCGAACACAGCCTATTCCACAACCCATGATGCCAATAAATCCACCGGCACCGCGTGACCCACCGAGGCCACAATTACCGAGTGTTCCTCCTTCGGCTGCCTTAGCAGATTTACCTCGAGTGCCAGCTGCTATCTACAACCCGCCACGTGGTACAGTATCCAATGAGGCAGCCGAGCTTCCATCGAGTGCTCCTCGTGCCATGTTTTCCAGGAAGGGCTCCACGGCATCGGTCTCTGGCATGAATAGGAACGGCAGACCCCGTACGTCCGATGAAAACCTTGTTTCTGGACCACCCGTCACAAGTCCGAAGACGAGATCAAAACCTACTATACCCGATGGTGATACTATTTCGGCGGAGGAGCTTGAGCGTTATATGAGACTTGGTGCTAGGGAAGTGTCCATTCTCGTGATTGATATCAGAAGTCGCGACGAGTACGATGACGGGCATATCATGTCTCAAGCAACAATATGTGTTGAAAATGAAGTGCTGCTGAGACCAGATATTTCTGCTAGCCAAGTAGCAGAGAGCATGGTGTTAGCACCGCAAGCAGAACAGCAGCATTTTGAAAGACGGCATGATTTCGATATGATTGTTTTCTATGATCAGCAATCCAAACGGCTCGTATCAAGTCCGCGGACACCAGAGGAGCGAGCGGTCCTGACTTTTTACAACGCACTTACAGCGTATGACTATGCAGGTGGATCAAGTTCACAACAAAGGCTGAAGTTGCTTAGAGGTGGACTGGAGGCATGGACTGACCTGGTTGGGACCGGAGCGTTGCAGACATCCGCCACAAGTGCCACTGCGAGGACACAACAAAGGCCGCCCTTAGCCCACAACCTCACCAATCGACTACGCAGAAACGTAACGCGGCCGATTCAAGATCTCGCAGAGGTTCAAAAATGGGAAGAAAACGTTGACATCGTTACTCCGGTAAGGACAACGGAAGATTTTCTGCGGAGGTACCCTTCAGTTTCAACGATACAAGAGTCCATGACTTCACCCATCCACACTTCTCCCGCTCGGCCAGCGAGCCCGTTGCCTCGACACATTGTCCACGAACAGAATCTTTACTCCTCGCTCCCATCTCCTCCAACTCGCCCGGCCCCAACTGTCCCACGTAGGAGTTATAGCGGTCTAGCAGAAACCGATACCAGCACCACGGCAACATCGAAAAGGTCATCACTCAAGTCAGGAATCGAAAAGGTTCGGAAGTTTAGGACTGGTCTTGTCAATCCCGGTGTGTTCTGCTTCGCCAACAGCTCCCTGCAAGCTATGTTTGCCACGCCTGGATTTTCTCGCGAGTTGTACACGGGTGTTTGGAAGGATGTGTACAAAGTTCCACTGAAAGCCGATGAGAAGAACGAAAATCCACAGTTACTCACCAAGTACCTCGCTGGTCTATTCCACTGGCTTGACGAGGGGACGCTGAGGTCGTTGGAAGCGAAGCATCTCATGGTAAGTGAGGACCTAAGGATTCAGTGGCCGTCAATCGTAATTCAAAAACTAACATCTCGTAGGCATATATCCACTTCATTCACTCCAAGAACGCGGATGGCAGGAAGAAGCCAGAAAGCGAAATCTTTGGTGGGCCTGCGCAGCAAGACGCCCAGGAGTTCTACTCCTTTATCATTGACAACATCCATGACGAGACCAACATTCACCGAGACCGCAAGCCGCCCAAAGAAGAAAAGCCTTATACGCCCAAGAACGGGACAGTGATCCAGAACGCCATTGATTACTGGCGCGACTACTCAACAGCCAGTGCATCTATCATCGACAAGTATTTCCGTGGCCTGGAAGTGTTCATCTCCCGCTGCCAAAACGCCGAGTGCCGGCAAGAAATCCGCATGTTCCAGCCCTGCGACGTCTGGATCCTCAACATTGCCGCCGAGACAGGAGGCGAAGGCAACGGCTACGGCGCCACAGACCTAGACCGTCTTCTTGCCAGCCACCAAGCAACCGAGCACTTTGCAGATCTCAAGTGTGAAACATGCAACAAACCCGGCAGAACAAGACGGGCCAAGTTCGCTCGACTACCGGACCGTCTCGCCTTCTGCCTCAACCGCTTCAACTCGTCCTTCGGTCAGTCACGATCATTCACCTCCATGCTCTCCGGCAGCGGTGGCTCGAATAAGATCCACACCAAAGTGCGCTTCCCGATCCGCGACCTCGATCTGACTAGATACTGTGCCGAGCCTGACCCGGATATGGCGACCACGGACGATCCGCACTACGCCGGCCGCATGAAGTACGATTGCTACGCCGTCACGGTGCACGTGGGTCAGGGCATTAACGGCGGACATTACTATACGTACGTGCAGGATGAGCAGTCCAAGGACCCGACGGATTGGTTCAAGTGTAATGATGATGTGGTGGAGAGGGTGAAGATCGGGAGTGTCAGTGGTTCAGGGGGCATAAATGGGAATGGGAGCAATGGTGGCAATATACCGGACCTGACGGAGGTGATGTATGCGAACGGGAACACGTCGGCTTATATGGTTTATTACCGGAGGCAGGGGACTTGATAGCGTCTCTTATGAAAGGAAGGGAGGCGTTGGCTGAGCGACTTGCAAGGCTTCCTGCTAATGTATGTACATATTTTGAGTTCGCCGTGAGAGTTTTGTTTGTTTGTATATAGTTATGGTACATAGGTTGAGGGTTGAGAGCGAAAGACGCTGATATGAGAGATGATTGATGACGATGATGATGAGTTAGTCCTTCACGGCAGTCTACCTAGAACATGCCCGACTGATTATGCTAGATGATGATGTATACGTTGAGGCCAGAGAATACGAGGTCTTTGCCCAGTGGTCAATGTTCATGATATCAAGCTGATTACTTTCATCCCATCTTACGAACCGTATAGGGGCTCAGGGGACCAGATGAACAAAAGAGCCACATGCCCCTGACATGAACAGGAGGCGGGTAGCTTTGCGGGGTAGCTCTTAGGTGGCGTTGCCAATTCTGTTAGCGTGGTACGTAAATACCCTTTTATGTGCACCATGCTCTCAATGCCAAACATTAATTTGAGGGTACTTCACTATCAGACCCTTAAGTCATAACGGCAGTTTCACATGTCCACCCGACCACGTCAACGTCGTTGGTCGGAATCGGTCCGCACCCGTCAATCGCTATCAGAAACCGAGTTTGCATCTTCGTCTTCAATCTCAATACGAAGCGCCTAAGAGTACTTGTGACATGGAATAAGATTGGCATGACCCCTTATACAGAGTTTATATACGCCTGTCAGGTATGGTATACCACACCGACAATCATGACGACGCGGAAATGGGGTTTTGGGTATCCATATTCAAAACCGCAATTTCTTTGTCCACTCCAAAATCCGATAGTCTCAAAAACCGGCACGTTTCCGCATCGCTAATCCAGAATGCCAGATGGAGCATTTGTGGTCGGCAATATCCATCTCCCTTGTCGGACGGCCGGGACGGGAGGGGCCTGTCATGTTTAAAAGTCACATCTCCACATTCTGAGCCTCGGCCCAGTCTCATCGCGGACACTTTCCCGTTTCACTATCCAGTGATAATTGAGGATATTCGTTCTTGGCAACCGCTTTGAAGCTAGAAACCTTCAAGCTCCCCTCACTTCGTCGCTCGTTCTTGGTTCTTAGTTAGTTTGTCAACGACCCCATCCAAAGTCGAGGCTTCTCACCTTCTTTTCATTCATCTTTTTGTTTAATAAGGATCATCAGGTCTTTGTATCCGTTACAACAACCGTTGCATCCGCTGGTTCCGTCGTCTATTTCGTCTCATCTCTAGCCGGCCCATCCTTGTTGATCGACGTCGTTCGTAGTTCCTGGATATAATCATCCCAACTCATCATCTTCAAATCCTTTTTCTCAACCAAGCATCAACACCAGTCACCAACATCACACAATGGACGCAGCAGTAAAGATGGCCGCCTCCAAGGCAGCAATCGCCCCCTTCGAGGCCACCCCTCTCGACGTCATCCCCGCCGTCTCCAGCAACGCCCGCGCCACCTTCCGCTCCCACCAGACCAAGGACCTGCAATGGCGTATCGTCCAGCTGCGCAAGCTCTACTGGGCCCTCGAGGACTTCAAGCCCTCCTTCGTGGCCGCGCTCGACCAGGACCTCCGCAAGGGCGGCTATGAGGCCGTCTTCACCGAGATCGACTGGGTCAAGAACGACTGCATGTTCATGATCAACAACCTCGAGACCTTCGCCAAGACCCAGAAGCTCAAGTACCCCGACGTGCCCGCCACCTACAGCATGATGAACTTCCGCGTCAAGAAGGAGCCCCTGGGAACCGTTCTCATCATCGGCCCTTACAACTTCCCCGTCCAGCTGGTCCTGGCGCCGCTCGTAGGTGCCATCGGCGCCGGCTGCACGGCCGTCATCAAGCCCTCGGAACTCACCCCCGCGTGCGCCATGGTCATGAAGGAAATCATCGAGACCCGGCTGGACCGCAACGCGTTTGCCGTCGTCAACGGCGGCATCCCCGAGACCAACGCGCTGATGGAGGAGAAGTGGGACAAGATCTTCTTCACGGGATCCGCCCAGGTCGGCTCCATCATCGCCCGCAAGGCCGCCGAGACTCTCACCCCCGTCTGCCTCGAGCTGGGCGGCAAGAACCCGGCCTTCGTGACCAAGAAGGCCAACCTGGCGCTTGCGGCTCGCCGTCTGATGTGGGGCAAGACCTTGAACGCCGGACAGGTGTGCATGAGCCACAACTACGTGCTCGTCGACAAGGACGTGGTCGATACCTTCATCGACTTCCTCAAGGTCGCGTACAAGGAGATGTTCCCCAACGGAGCCAAGGCCAGCGTGGATCTGGCGCGCATCGTCAACGCCAGGCACTTCACCAGGATCAAGAAGATGCTGGACGAGACCAAGGGCAAGATCGTCATGGGCGGCCAGATGGACGAGAGCGAGCTGTTTATTGAGCCCACCGCCGTGTTGGTGGATAGCCTCGATGACCCCATGATGCAGGAGGAGAGCTTCGGTCCCATCTTCAGCATTTACCCCGTGAACACCCTCGACGAGGCGCTCAACATTGCCAATGAGGTGCACAGGACGCCGTTGGCGCTGATGGCGTTTGGAGACAAGTCTGAGACCGGAAGGAGTATGTTTATTTTCCCCTTTCTCTTCTTTTATCTTCTTGAATGATCAATCCTAACAATTGTCCACAGTCCTCGACGAAATGACCTCGGGCGGCGCCTGCATCAACGACGCCTACTTCCACGGCGCGGTGCACACGGTTCCCTTCGGCGGCGTCGGCGACTCCGGCTGGGGCGCCTACCGCGGCAAGGCCAGCTTCGACACCTTCACGCACTTCCGCACCGTGTCCGAGACGCCCACGTGGATGGACCGCTTCCTCCGCGTGCGCTACATGCCGTACGACTGGAGCGAGCTGCGCTTCCTGCAGCGACTGACCGACAAGAAGCCCAACTTTGACCGCCAGGGCACCGTCGTCAAGGGCGTTGGGTATTGGATGTGGTTCTTTTTGGGACTGGGGACCCAGGGGGGTGGTGCTAAAGGTGCGTTGAAGAGGTGGCTGGTCGTGCTGGCTGGCTATTATTTGTCCGTTTATGTGAAGGCGAGAAGGGCTTGAGCCTTATGTGTTATGAACTGAATGCGATTCCTTGGCTACCTTGACCTATATCACAGCAAATCGATTCTTGTTGTCCCGAAAAGCCGTTTGGATCCTCTTCTAGTTTATGTATCTAATCCGTGTCATTTTATGATCAGATAACGAATCGACGACTTCTTGAGTACTTACTTCGATCGAGAGCTCATCACCTGGAGTGACGTGGTCATCGGTTTAAAGGCGAAAGATATCATAATATTAGGAGAGATGGTTAATGGGCGGAAGCAGGTAATGTGGAAGACAGGATTATTGATAATACGGTTTGGATACGTTCTAAAGGAGTTGATATATACGGTGGTGTATCACTCTTGGAATGCGCACGTTTTAGCATTAGCAGTTTAGTTTTGCATATATACCCACTGTTTTAAAGCGACCAATGTGTTCCGCAAAGGCTTACGGTACCTTGCCCCCATCCAAGACCCAAGCTATGCCATGAAACGTTGGCGCTCGCGATAACCCCGCTGCGATGTGACTGTCCCCGGACCACACTTACATAGCGAGGACGCATATAATAGTGGGAAGACACTTAGACGTTAGTAACATTATAGAGCAGCAAAGATAGTTAGTTAGCTATACATTTGCGAATTCGACAAGCCGTGAACCACTCAAGCATGCCCGCTTCAACATTGTTTATATCTCCTCCTCTTCCGAGTTGACATGAAATAGATTAAACCGATGTATTCACGTACCAACCGAGAAAGCCAAGTCGTCAAAAACCCTCTTCAGTATTTCTCGGCACTTACATACACGTACATACAACCCCGGAACATTCCCCCGAAGAGTAACCCGGGCATTTATCCTCCGGGAATTTTATCCACACGGCAGCATACGAAAGACAGCATGGACACTGCCACCCCTCAATATGTTAACAGCCCGATCCGATGTGGAAGTTGAAGGGACACACATGAGGTTTCCCCAGATCGAAGACCATCAGATGATTTATATACTCTCAAAAGCCCTCGTCAAACTGTTCTACTTTAGTTCCGTCTCACTTTCTTTTGTTCACATGCCCCCATAACGAAAACCACCGGTCGGGTACCTCACCTTAGGTTCACGAACTAACTGGATCAATGTCTACCTCACGCCGTGCCCACCCTCCTCCTCCTATATCGAGGACCAGCAGCAACAGCAACGGCAACAGCAACAGCAGCAACACGAAAAGCAGAATAGCCAACCAATATACTCCCTCCTCTTACTCCTCTTACTCTTACTCCCCCCAAGAAGCTTACAACCACAGCCCTTTAAGCCAAAGCCAAAGCCAAAGCCACAACCAAAGCCATAACCAAAGCCCAAGTCAAGACCAAAGCCAACAAAGTCCCAAACCAAACACCAGTCAAAACGAAAGCCATGCATACAGCCACCATAACCACCACTCTCGCTTCTCAATACCCATGAAATCCTTAAACCTAAATCTCAAAGACAACCTCCGAGACATGCGGCGAGACATGAACATCACCAACCTCAAGAAATACCGCCAGCGTCGACGGCTGGTTAAACTCGCTTCCATCGTCTTGGTGTCAGGTCTGACGATTTGGTCACTTTTGCACTTTTTCTTCTGGCACGGCTCGTCTTCCGTATCCCCTGCCTCTTTCTTCTCTTCGTCAAAAACGGCACAAGAAGGCGGGACCTTCAACCCTTCACTAGACCAAGAAAAAGAAATAGACTACGAAACCGTAGCCTCTTCGCGCGCCAAATCTTCCCCTCGAGGGGGCAGCATGCCGAAACTAACCGACGAGATCCTCAGCAACTTGTCTCTGGACAGCGAGACATGTCGGGCTACCTTTCCGGGGTTGATGAAGGAGATTGACGATACGGTAGCCAAGGGACCGTTCAAGGTGAAGAGGAGCAGCGATTTGGGGCCGATGCAGGTTAGGATTAAGAAGGGCAGGATTTATGTGTTGCATGCGCAAAGAAAGAGGGATTTGAGTCGGGAGATGGTTAATGTATGTTTTTTTTCCTTCTTCTTCCAGCGCGATCAGTCGGCAGTGGCTAATCAGGGATGAAAACAAAACAAAATGTAGTCAAGAACAGCAGCCCTCCACCAACTCCACCGGGCGCTTCTCACTTTACCTCCCTCAGACCGATCTTCGATCTCATCAGAGTTCGACACAATCCTAACCATCAACATCCTCGACACCCCCTTCGGCACCGCCCTGCAATACACGCGCAACGCCGACCCGGTCCATGCGCCCTCAGACCCTGACGCCCGCACTTTCTTGATCCCCCACTTCTCCTTCTGGGCATGGGACCTCCCCTTTATCGGATCCATCTCGCGCGCCGCCGCCGCCATCACGCAGCTCGAAGAGACCCAGTTCCAGGGCAACAGATGGCACAGCCACAAGGACCCGCGGGCCGTCTGGCGCGGCACCACGTGGTTTAACTCGATTCACAACCCGCAACTGCGATACAAGCTTGTTTCGACAGCCAAAAATAAGCCGTGGGCGGATGTGCAGGGTCTTGAATGGTCATCATCATCAAGTACCAACAGTGATGGCAATGGCAACACAAATACCAAAAACGCTTCCAACTCGCTAGCCATCGAAGACTTCTGCAAATACAAATACGTGCTTCACACCGAAGGGATTTCTTATTCGGGAAGGTTCCAGTTCCTGCAAATGTGCGCGTCGGTCACCATCACGCCGCCGATCCAGTGGATGCAGCATACCACGCACCTTGTCAGACCCTTATTCTCGAGCGATCTGGACTTGGACAAGGCGCGGTCGTTGCGCAAACGGAGGGACGGCAAGACGAAAGATACTAGAGCAAAGCCGGGTAACGCGAAGGAGGGAGGGTGGACGCCGCATGTTAGACATGAAAGGGCGTGGCCGAGGAGGTATGAGCCTAATGAGGCCAATATTGTGTTTGTGAGCCCTGACTGGTCCGATTTGGAGGATACGGTGCATTGGCTGGAGGAACATCCCAAGGTTGCGGAGGGTATTGCCAGGAGACAGAGGGAGCTGTTTGTGGGTGGTGGGTACTTTAGTCCGGCGGCCGAGGCGTGTTATTGGAGAGAGCTGGTGAGAGGGTGGGCGAAGATGGCGAGGCCGGAGAAGGGCGAGTTTGAGGAGTTGGGAGTGCCGTATGAGGAGTTTGTGTTGAGTAACGGGTGGGATTGAGATGGTCGGTTCGGGAGGCGTCATGGTTGTCATTTGTCTTTCGTGTAGTTTGGGTATCGGTATCGGGTTGGAGAGCTTCGGATGCAAGATATGATTGCTGATATAGCTGTATTAAGTATGTGACTTTGATATTGTTCGTAGAGGTCGCCTGATTAGTTCTTTTAACAGTAGATGTACGTATGCTCACACCTAGAGCAGCACACCCATGAGTCCTCAATCTCCCCATACCACCAAGGCGAAAAACAACCCGCTTTCCTGTAAAAATAAATCCTCCAAAACTCCAGAAACGCCAACTTACCGCTCTCACCCATGGACCCATATGCTCAACCAAAGAGCTCCTTTCTCAGGACTGCTCAGCAATAGTAGCCCAATCAAAGAACCGTCGCACCCGGTCCCCAGTTCTCCCCTATCCTCCTCATATCCTCCGTAAACTTCTTGCTCGTAATCTTCTTGCCGCCTGTCCCCGTAAGCGGCGAATGCTCGTCCGGATCGAAGAACGGGTTCTGCAGCAACTTGATATACGCCGTCTGCATCGCTTTGAAGACCTGTTTCTTTTGTGTTAGCGCCATACCATACCATCTTGCCTGTCCACGTTTCCGTTTCGTCTCCCCTTCCGCTTCCCCCCTTATCTTTCCCATCAAAATCTTGGCCCGGCTCGATCATGTTCCCCCAACCCAGGAATGCTAAGGAAAAGTTACTCACAACTTTCATCTCCCCCTCCCTCAAACCAACACTACTAGCCGCCGCCGCCGCCGCCGCCGCCCCTCCTCCTCCTCCTGCTATTCCTCCTCCCTGCAGCCCCCCCACCCCATGCGCACCACCACCGTGGCCAGCTCGTCCATCAACCCTCCTCCCTCTCATATCTACAACCGCGACAAACTTGGTTCCCGTATTCGTCTCGAACCCGTACGCAGCCAAGCGGTCGTCGACCGCATGTAGCAAGCCAAAGTCACCGGAAAGCCCGACGCCCGCGGCGGCGTTGCGGCGCGCGCGCAGGTCGAAGACGTCTAGCGTCGAAGAGAGCAGGAGGTGGAACTGCAGCGAGGTGCGCGCGGGAATGTAGGTGTTGGTGGAGGGGTCGTAGGAGGGGAAGATTTGGATGTGGAGGGGGTTGTTCTGTATGTAGAGAAGATGGGAGATGTTAGCTAGGTAACTTTGGCGAGAGGAAGGGGACTTGGAGGAAAGGGATGATGAAGGGAAGGGAAAGACAGAAGGGGGATAAGGGGAGCTTTACGTTACGGCCTATTACGCCTAGACAGGCTATTGAGGGGATTAGGGTCGCCATTCTTTGTGGAGGTGGTGTAGTTTGGGGTTATCTGTTCGTGTTTTCGTAGTATGATAAGGACGTGATTTGGTGCTTCCGGTTTCGAGGTATCGAAGGGCAGATTGAGTGATGTCGAGTGCCCTGCTTGGTTTGCGACAGCTTGGATGTTGTTCGGTTGAACGATGACAGAGACGCGGACCGGCGTGGTGACGCGGGAAGCTGATCCATGGAGGTGCAGCAAGTCCAGTGGGTCTGGGGTAGCTTGGGTAACCATTGTTTAGTGGCCTGTGGGACCCCTATTTCCGACGTCTACAGTGGGTGAGTTTGTTGCCTTGGTGACGCCCCTTTTCAACCTCACATAGGTTATGATTCACGACATAACTCAAACGAGGCACCGGTAGATGTGAAGACCTTTGACTTTTCCTAACGACTCGATGGCTATGACAACAGATACAATATACAGCTTCCAAAACCCATCCACAACGCCGGGCGCAGTGCTCCCTCTCCCGCTGGCCAAACACTCCTTTAACTTGCCCGTATCCAACCCAAAGCTTGCGCCGATGCTCGAAGAAAAGGGTGATGATGAATTCCCCATGTTTTTTTTTTTCCAAAATGATAGCCCTTCTCCGTAAATGCCCAACGCTGAAAATGCCTGGACACGCACACACACACGACTTCTACGAGCTCAATCCCACCTATCCCATGCATCCTGCCACTCATCATCCTCGTAAAAGTCCGTCTCTTCCAACCCCCTCAGCACCTCCTCAATCTCCTTCGGATCGGTAATTGCCCAGACGCCGCCGCCTTTAACGACATCCTTCCCGCGCATGCCGACCTCCTTACCCACCAAGTTCCGGCCCACGTACCCCGGCCCGATACCGACCCATCTCCTGACCTTCATGGACTGATCCAGGTACTTGATGCTGTCCCACCACTGTACAGTCTCAACCGACTGCCGAGCCAAAAGGTCCTTGAGTTGCTCCCTACTTTCAAAAGGCCTAGCCGTCACATTGCTAATGCACGTAACCTTGCCGGGAAACGTGACGATATCCTCGTTCTCCCTGCCCTTAACCATGCTATTTCCCGCCATCATTTGCTGCAGCACCCCGACGGCCGGCTTCATGATGGGGCTGTGAAACGGACTGTCGCTCTTGAGCCTGACGGCGCGTGGGTCGTGTCCCAGGAACTGGCGCACATGTTCCACCAGAGTCTTGATGCGCGAAATGCTTCCGCTGAGCACGATCTGCGTCTTGCTGTTGACGTTGGCAATAAGCACTTGATCGATGGGGCTCCAGTCGTCGGCGCTCTCGACTTTCGAGCCGGCGCTGTCGTAGCCGACGAACTCGTGGATCGCGGCAATCAGGGGTGGCAGGTGCTCGGCCTTGCTACTGACGAGTGCCACCATGCCGTACTCTCCGCCATACATCTCCTCGGCCTGCCGCGTGGCGTTGGACATGGCTTCCGCTCGCTTTTGCACCATGCGCAGACTGTCCTGGAACTGGATATAACCGCCCGCGACAAGCGCAGCGAACTCGCCGAGCGAGTGACCGAGGGTAAAGTGGGCGTTGTCTTCGACCCTAAAGTTGAAGTGCTTTTCGAGAATGCGAATGATCATTATCGAGGTGGCCATGATGGCTGGCTGTGCGTTCGGCGACAGGTTGAGGTCCTTGCCGGGCCCATTTTGTATCACGTCCGAGAGCTTGTAGCCCACTACCGAGTCGATTTCGTCGATGATTTCCGAAGTTGTCGAGGGAAAGGCTTCTAGCCAGGGGGTGAGCATGCCGACTCTTTGGACGCCTTGGCCTGTACATCGTGTAGCTGTTAGCATATTACTCTCCTAACTTGAGCCTGTTAAGGCAGGGTAGCACGCGACTACTACGAACCTGGAAAGAAGATGGCCGTTTTTGGCCGTGTGTCTGGTACGGGCAAGTGTGTCGCATGGCCTCTACGCTGCCGTACCGCTACCGAGCGCGGTAATGGTGATATCCGGAGGGGTGTTTTTGTGATGACATTGTTGGAGGAGGGAAGCGCAGAAGGAGGAAGCGCAAGCGCAGGCCGTCGAAGGGGCCCGCGCAAAGGCATGTCGGTGTTTATGTATGTGGACCTGGAAGTCCTCGCTTTGTCCCCGTCCCAGGCCGTCCGTCCGTCCGTCCGGTCCGTCTACCGCGTGGGTGTCGTGCGTTCGCTACCGGAACCTCGGTCTGGTTTCACTAATAGTCTTGTCTTGCCTTGATCCACCGCAATGGTTGCTGCCGATAGTCGATGTCTCCGTTCAGCGCCAAGTCGAGTAGTAGCACACGGCTATGTCGTAGTAAGGTAGTCTGGTGGAATCCGAAGTCGGGGATGTTTTATGTAAATCTCGAGTTGGTTGTCTTTTTGTTTGTGTCGGCAAACAAGTCTTGTATGTTTGATGGCGCAAAGCCCGGAAACAAGTAAACAATGGAAGCAAATCAAAGAGAGGGACGGGACTACTATTAAAGAAGGGATGCTAGTGGTGGAAGAACACGGAATGATCGGCTTTCAACGGTAGCAACGGCAAGGTCAGGTAGGTGTAGGGACGTCCGGGCAAGTAGGGACGGCTGTTTCCTGCAGGTTGAAGTGGAAAGCAAGCAGGTACGGATGTACTGGATCGTTGTTTCAAGGGAATCAATCATCAGTGGAAATCTCGCTCTCCAACGAGGACTCAACAAACCGCCCTGGAAATCGACAGCCGCGGCCGGGAGTGGACCACACCCCAACTGCCCGGCTGGCCCGCTGTCCGTTGTCCGGGGGTCTTTTGTGTGGAGAAGACGAGTGGGGTAATTCCGTCGCATCTGGTCGGTCTAGTCGGCACAATGCACCGTCACTGGATTCCATCTCACTGCAGTGAGCAGTCACTGGGGCAGGCACCTGAACGATGGGACCTGTCACTGCAGTTGTCCTGTTCCTGCCCGCTGTGTGACGTCGCCCTGCCACTGGTGCGGCTACTTTTGGCTGTTGCAGTTGGGACTTGGGAAAAGGTCCAGATCCACACCCAGCTGCTGGGTAAAAAGGACGACAGTGGAGGTGCGTACCTATGTGGTACCTGCACTGTACTGCATAGTGTCTAGCCCGTGCACGCGACACGGCACGAGGCTCCATCAGCTGTGTAACTTTTATTATCAATACCGTATTGATTTCACTATCAGAATTTCAATACGCAAACATTTGGACGTCAGTTCGTCAACTCAACAACATCGAAAAGGTCCAGGCACCACTTTGTGGACAAGAAGAGGAACCGACGCAAACAACGAACTTCTGCAGGTCAGGGTATTTGGAATAACTGGGGATTCGGAAAGTTCGACGACGGAGATCGGGCAAGGAAAAGCGTTTTCCTCCAGGCTCACTTAAATTTCGATTCTCATCTCACGAAGCACTCAAAAGTCGATATCACGACGGACGACTTTACAGTCTCACCACAGACTCTTCAACTACACACAACCAAACCACAACCACACAACAACATGCCCATCACAATCCTCCCACCCAAGGCCTTCCGGGACCAACCACCCAGCCGTTCCCTCAACCATGACTCCGACGACGTAATGTCCGACGCCACCTCCGACTCTGAAGAAGACTCCGACACCCAACCAGGCGGCGTCTCACTCGACGGCGGCGCGACCATCCACCCTCGCAAGCGCCGTTCCGCTGCCGCAGCTTCGTCAACCTTCACCAAGCGTCCCAAGACCAACGTCACCAGTAGTTCGGTCCCTCGCTCCGCCATCGTCACCCCCGGCGAGCGCATCACCACGGATCCTCAATGGATGCGCGGCCACGGCACTTACCTCTCCTCCGCCTCCCTAGGTGAACAAGCCATCACCTCCTCTCTGGCGGGCATCGTCACGCGCACCAACAAGCTCTTGTCCGTGCGCCCCTTGCGCGCCCGCTACACGCCCGAGGTGGGCGACCTCGTCGTCGGCCGCATCGTGGAAGTGCAGGCTAAGCGGTGGCGTGTGGACGTCGGGTCTACACAACTCGCTGCGTTGCCTTTGTCCGCCATTAACCTGCCGGGTGGTATCCTCCGCAAGCGCACCGAGACGGACGAGCTGCAGATCCGCACGTTCTTCGCCGAGGGCGACCTAGTCGTGGCCGAGGTGCAGCAGCTTTTCCAGGACGGCGGCGCGGTGCTGCACACGCGCTCGCTCAAGTACGGCAAGTTGCGGAATGGGGTGTTCATGGCTGTTTCCGGTACCGGTGGCGGCGGCGGTGTGGTGAGGAGCCGCAGACAGGTGTGGACTTTGGAGAGCGCGAATAATGGCGGCCCGATTGATATCATTTTGGGCGTGAACGGGTATGTCTGGATCTCGAAGCATGTGGAGCCCGTGGTGCCTGAGGAGGCGAAGGGGCAGACGGGTATTACGAATATCGAGGAGGTGGTTAGTGCGACCATGTATTCGAGCCAGAATGACAGGATCGAGCCCGAGACGATGAGGGAGATTGCGAGGATCAGGGGAGTGGTGACGGCGCTGGTGGAGAATGGGCTCAGGGTCGATGAGGATATGGTCACCAAGGGGTATAATGAGGCGGTGGAGTTGGCGCTGGTGAGTGCTGAGGGCCCGGAGGATGTGTATCTCGGTGGTGAGAGGGGTGAGCAGCTTGCTGCTGCTTTGACGGCTGTTTAGGTCTAGGTCTAGAATAGGGGGTTGTGTAAAAGTGTTGGGCAAAATCAAGAAGAAAGAAACAAATGGTTCCAAGCCTGCTGGTCGTCAATTAGCCTTCGTCTATGGTGCGACGCTGGTGGTGGCTTTTAGCCTCATATCTGTCTATGTCCGTGGAAGTATATCATGAAAGACTTGACAAGATCAACACGAATTACTCATAAAAACATATAACCATCTCTAAAACATCTATATACAACCATCATCCCCATCCCCATCCCCATCCCCATCCCCATCCCCACCACCTCTACCTCCCCCCACTCCCAGTCCCCTCCTTCATCTCCCTAACCCTAAACCTCTCCAACCCCACCTTCTCCTCCAGCACCGTGCTCCCACCCATCGTAATCTCCGTCCTCTCCTTCTCACTCGGCCCCATTTTTAGTCTTACCAACGGGCTCTCAAGCGGCTTACTAACCTCTTTCCCCTCCCAATGTCTCGCCTCTTTCGGTAACGGCTGCCACCACCCCTCATCCTGTCTCGCGTGCCACTGCCTGCTGCAAAGCTCCCACAACCGGCTGGTGGCGCGCTTATACGCGAACCGCTCGTCCTGTCCCGTGAAGGCCGAGACGGTCTGGTTGAAGTCCACCTTTTTGGTTTTAGTCACGAGCTGTTCCTTACCGAAGTCAGAGTCCTGGTCGGGGTCGTATTCGGAGATGTTGGGCCGGAAGGGCGCGATGGAGTCTTGGAAGACTTCGGAGATGGTTTCGGAGTAGGTTGCGTCTTCTGCTTCCACCTGTTTTACCTCCCCCGGTTTACCGGCGTCTGTTGACATCGACGACGTGACTGGCTTGGGACGCATCTCGGGAAAGAACAGGTCATCAGGCCCGGCCTCGGCGCGGATGAGGAGCTTGCACTTGGACTCGTACAAAGCGTCGAGGAGGGTGATGAAGCGGCGGGCTTCATTCTTCATGGCTAGCGACAGGACGGGGACCTGGTCGATGATGAAGGTGTGGAAGGTCGAGGCTAGGGTGAGGTAGTCGGCTGGACCCTGGGAGGAAACCAGCTCGGAGAAGGACCAGTAGGTGATGTCGTTGTTGAGATGGCGCGGGACGTGCACTTTGCGGCCATAGACAATGACATTGGTTGGGGCCCATTGTGGGATTTGACCGGCGGTGGTTGCATTTGAGGAGCCGATGAGTTGGTTGATGGCGGCTGTCCAGCTTTCTTCCGTGTCGGAGGGTAGGAAGTACATGGATGGTTTTTGAAGACCTTGTTCGATGATGGTTTCTTCGGAAGTAGTGACTGGTGGCTCTGTGGATGATGATGTTGACCCAAACACTGGTTGAAAGGAGGCAGTCCCTGAATCTGATACTTTGTCCACAGCTTTAGGTGTAGTAGTAGGGTCGACATGACTCTCCCTTCTCCTCCAGTCTCGAGCGCCTTCCATGTGCCAGAAGTCGCATCGCGCTTTGAGAACCTCCAGGAAGGCAGCAAAATCGCTGGTCTGGCCGAACAACTCTCCCTGGCGCTTTCCAAAGCCAAAGACCTGTTTGATCAAACCGCCGGTTGTAGGCGGGTGGTAATACCCACCCGTAGCCTTCTCCAACTCCTCAGGCATACGGTTGGAAGACGCAATGAGGACGCCTCCCAGCTGAAAGAAGGCGATGAATAGGTTGTTCATGATCTTGCTCGCAGCTCTGTCGGGAAGCTGGAACTCGTCGAGGAAGAGAATGGGAGACTTCTCCACCATCTCTTTTGCCAGCCACAGGAGGGAGTACTCCTGGTCACCCATGGACAATTGGGACCGTGACTTTCGGAACTGCTCCAGCCTGGAGAGGGCGTACAGCATGAATGTGTTGAAGTGCCATCTCTTCTTCCGATGAGTGGGCAAGCCCTCGGCTAGTAGATCTAGCAGCATGGACTTGCCGGTGCCGACCTCGCCTGAGAGGAAGAGACCCCTGGGAGAGTCAATGTGCAGAGCAGCTTGGTGGCTTGTAAGAACTCTGGTTAATGCTAAAGTGTCTCTGTCCTCTGCCTTGCTAAAGAACTTGGCAAAGAGAGGATTTCTCCTGATGGGGTGGCTGCGGACGGCCAGCTGGGTCTCCTCGTCCTCAACATCCTCCTTTCTTGCTGAGTCCAAGGCCTTTGTGATTTGCTGGAGTCTTGACTGGTACTCTTGAGAAGGGGTGTAGTCCTTTAACCGCACATAGAGCTTTTGCAAGTGATGGGCCAGACGGTGTTGAGCGGCATCGGGACTACAGGAGCCGGTGGCGATGAGGGCGTTGTACTTGACCAGTGGATCGGTGATGGTGACCGAGGTCACTATGCGGCGACTCATGGTGGCCAGGTTGATAAACGGAGTCAAGAGTTGGAGCAAATCATCAACACTTTGATGTCCCTCCTACTCCCGAGTGTCGATGGTGTAGATGATTTGTATGGAAGCTGTGAGATCGGATCGGATCTGATACAGAGAAGCCGAAGATGTCCGGGTGACTGTTAAGGTTAACAGTGGATTCAGGGGATGACACTTAACGGTCCCCAATGATGTCACTTTCAAACGGCACCCAATGTCATTAACAGTTGTCAACTCGGGCAGTCCAGCTTCTCGAGAGCTCTCTAGGGTGTCCACTTGTACCTAGAACTATCGCTTTCAATGTTTGATGACTCGAGATGGAAACTTGTCCAATGGCCGAGCGAGGTCAGGGTGAGTCCATGGTGAAGAGGCAAGTAGAAGGTAAAGGAAACCGGCCTTACAAAGGGGTGAAGAAAAGAGGGATATGTCCATTGAAGAACCTGGCCGAACTTGGACACCAAGCACCATATTAGTGTTAAGGTTTGTTAGAGGCAGTTGAAGGACGACGGAAGTGAAAGAACTGAGGAAGACCAGGAAGGACAAAGGGAAAGGAAAAGGTACGTACCTCCTGGCTGCCAGCACCTCGTGGTTGTCTGTGGAGATGTCCAAGGTGGGTGTTGAAGCACTGACCAGCGAAGCCAAGCAACACGCCAAGACTGATTATTCTCAGTGACCACTGACCACGATGGGCCAGCAAGTTGGTGGTTGCGACCTCCGCTGGGATTTTTTGTTGCCCGAAAGTCAACAAGGATCCAATGATTGAAGGCTTCATCGTCACTCGTGCAAATGCATTTCTGTCACGGTCTTTTCCATGCTGCCCGTCTTTCCCCATTCACTTTGACATCTAGACAGTAGCGACATCCGAATTTCTGCCTTTTTACCGGAGTACAACATTTCCAATTGCGACCTCCCGTCTCCATTTTCCACGACTTAGGTATACCTCTACCTTACGAGCTTACCTATCGATAACGGCGCATCATCATCCTTTCTCGTCGCCCGCCGTGTTTCCGTCACAAATTCGACATTCCAATATCAATCACCTCCCTTTGTGTTATCCGGGAGCATCGCGTCTTGTCATGACCGAAGAATAAAACAATAGAAAGGCCGAGATTAGAATCGAAGGGAACACGCACGCGCGTGCCCGTTTTGTTATTCACGTCATCCGTCACGGTCACCGATCGAATCCATCGATTTTTCCACAGCATCGACATTGCTCCCTTCTTCGCTTTGGCGATTTCTAGCTAGCCGTCCGCCTCCTACCACGACCACCATCACGACAACCACCAAACGCGGTTTACGGTCAGGTCACCCACCAGCACCAACACCAACATGTTTGAGCCAAACCAAGACCAAGGTGGCCCCGCGAAGGGAACACGAAGCAGTCGTCGCAGAGCGCGCCCCTCGTCGAATACAGATGCCACACTCCAGGCCCCCAAGGCAAAGCGGCAAAGGGTACCTCTACACGAAACCACGGTTGCGAATACCGAAGCCCTCCCAGAGACGGATGTCGAGTTGGACCAAGTTAAGTCCGACAAGGTCCTGCCCAATATCAAGCGCGACGGCAGTGAAAACATCCTTGGCCCCCGCAAAGAGCTCAGCGTCCGATCAAAGAAGCAAAAGGCCGGCGAACGGACCGCGAAGGGCGATGGAAGCATAGTGCTGGTATGTTGGCGTGCTTTCTTTCCCAGGCCTTTGTCTCGCGTCAATGCGCAGTGGGGAGCTCCTGGAAGCTTAGCTACTGACCATACCTTAATCCCAGACTACAAACAATGCCTATACCGTGAGCAAGCTCCCAGCTTTACCGGACCGACTCCGAGCGGATGCGCAAAGTAAGATCGACCACCACAGCTACCTCCCAAACAGCCTTCCACCTTTGGATCAGCTTTCAATAAAGCCTGGAGTGCCTAACAATTCCCAAGATCGTCAGCACGGTGCCGTCTACTCGACCAGCGGATACGCCTTGAGCCTTACCCATACCCATGCCTTCGTCTGGCCCTATGCTTCGACCGCCGCCTCGCCCGAGACCTTCACCTTCGGTCTTCCTTATCCCTCCAAGAACCCGACCGACCCGCTACCACTCGGCTCCCTGGTTTCGCCCTCGGCTGCCTCAGATGAACCTGGCCTTGTTGTGGTCATGCCCATGAGCGGCAAGATCGCCTACTGGGAGTCCATCTCGAGCGCCGCTACCCTCGACTTCATTCGCCAACAACGACACGGAGTAGAGGACACAATACCAGGCATGTTTTCTGGAGAACATGTCGTTCAAATCGTCAACGCCGAATCCGCCGGTTTCGTCCTCGTCTTCAGTTCTGGCCGTCTCGCGTACCTAAGCGTTCGCGACATGCATGGCCGGCCTACCATTTCCGTACAGTTCCTCCGCAGCAGCCTCACCAATGCCGTAGGTGGATTGTTGGGAAGCATCCGTCATGTCCTGGGTTCCACTTCGGCGCATGGAGAGGTCGTTGCCGTTCGCGCCAGCCATGCCACCAGAGTAGGAGAGCGCGTCATTGTTGCAGCTACGACTAAGGGCAAGTTCAACACTTGGCGTATTCACAGGGGCGGCCACCACGATGTTCTGTCCGATATCGACTTGAAGAGCGAGCTCATTCACCAAATACAAGAGGCCGACTCAGCCTCCACCGGCCTACCCGAGGAGTCCTTCGAAGTTGTTGACTTTACCTGCGTTCCTCGAGGACTCGACCGCAAGTATGTGGAGGCCAGTCGACTAAGCGAGGCTCTGGTTCATGACGAAGATTCTGTCCAGCATCTGCTGCTACTCACATCTTTTTCCAGCAAAACGCAGTCTCACTATGCCTTGGTCGAGGTTGTCATTTCTGGTCAGAATAAGAAGGTCGGCGCTGTCCGACCCTTGACCTCTTACACCAGTCCTGTGCGACCCAATGCCCCCGAGAGGCCTAAGCTCTATCTACCGCGCCCTGCCATGGTCGCTTTTGTCGTCTTCGACCGTGCTGTTGTGATTGCGTCCCTGGCCGCCCCACCGGATTCCCCCGAGTCACAACTCCAAGAGGACAGTCACATTATACCCGCCACATTCGAAGACGTGGTAGACCTTCGGGATGAGGGTAATGTGCAAATTGTAGGCTCGGGCACAGAGGAGCCTACTACCAGCGGCCATTCCCAAGATGAGCTTCGACTGCGGCACAGGACAAAAAACCCAGCAGCTGTGTTGTTGGTGCATGGTGTTGGCACAGTTAGAGTTGCCGTTAGCGAGGTTGATCGGTTCGCGACTGAAAAGCCACCAACCATTAGCGCGAAGAGCAAGCTCGAACAGGCCGTCTTCTTCGGTATCAAGCAGGACAACCCGTTGGTGTTCCAAGGAAGGAGCCTGCCTTTCACCGCTCAGGAAATTGGAAATGCCGCTATTGAACTCAGTCATGAGATCGTGGCCTCCAAAACTCCGTTCATCCCCAACGTGCCCGCCTCGCTTGAAAATAACATGAGGACCAGAGTGGACTATCTCCAGAGGTTAATCTCCCACCTCAACACCTTCAACGTAGATCTGGACGCTCGTGCACGGTGGGCGCTGCTCTACGACTCTGAAAAGATGGCCGTAGCAACGTGGCTTTGGCGGAAGAATGAGCAGTTCATCGCCGAAAGGCCAAAGGGAGATAAAAAGAACCTCCTTTCTGAGACGGTGTTGTACATCAACGAGAACCAAAAGACGGAGCCCAATCCGGCCGTCGGTGAGGTAGATCCTGTTCGCCATTGGTTTATCAACGATGTGTGGAAACTAGAGATCTTCATCGCTTGGGGATATCAGATTATCAAGTATGCCTACACGGAACGTCTTACTGACGAGAACGGCATCAATCGTCTGTTATTTGAAGCCGCCATCGTCAATAAGGGGGCCCTTCAGGAGGCGGAGCAGCACCGCTTGAGGAATGCACGCCTGTACGGTGTCAACCCTCGGAAATGTGCGGTAGGTCCCGGGATGCCCGCGCCCTGGACTGGCACTAAAGTCATCCATGTCAATCTCAATCGCCTTATTGAGTTTTGCTACGAGTGGCTAGACAACTACTACCTCCCGTCCCCGGAGAAGGCTTCTGTGGATGTGAAAATCCTCAAGAGTATCCGGGACATGCTTCCTGCTCTCACCAGCCGATACTTCACCGCTCTTAACGAGTTTATTTCGTGGGGTTCGAAGTCTAGTGATCCTGAGATACAAGAAGACGCCAGGAAGTATAGTGAGGCATACCCCACAAACGTCTACGAGAAGATATTACGACTTAAGGACTACGATCTCTGGGACGAGGCCATTGCCCTGGCGCGGGAGCATGAGGCATATGCCGCGCTGGCAGACACTATGGTGCAGCATATTCTCGCCCTGGAAGAGAGTGCTCTAGCTCCCGGCACTTCTGCTACCAAAGCTGAGTGTCATGCCAAGGCTGAGGATCGGAAGAGGCAGATGGGTGGCTACTTCAACCAGTATCAGGAGAGGTTTGCTTTCCCGGCTTACGAGGCTCTGCTTGAAGCTAGCGGCGTTCAATCAGTCCTCGAGTTTCCCTACGACACCGAGGGCTACGCCACCAAATTCCTCCGGTCCAGGCCCGAACTAGCCAAGATCTCCTGGATCAACGATGTCGAAAGGGAGAAAGACATTGAGCGTGCCGCCGAGACACTGCTCACTCTGGGTCTTACCCAAGAGCAGCAAGTCTGGAGCAAGAAGATCGAGCTCAGTCTTGGAAAGCTTGCTTTGCTGGCCGAGGAGGCCGATCAACGTTATGGGGACAGTGAAATGAGCAACGGCTTTTCCGATACCAAGGCGGCCAGTATTGAGAAGGTTGACCAGGCTCTGGAGGTTATTGCGGTCCAGAATGGCCTCTACAGTCAGATCCGGCCTACCATTGAAGAAGCCGTCGACGAAAGAGCAGAATTTGAACTGGCGATGAAGTACCACGGTGCCTGGATCCATGCCCAGAAGAAGCAGAAGGCACTTCAAAACGTCGTTGAGGACGGCATGGAGCGCCTGCTTAAGCACGAGGCCCTCCAGCCCCTCACTCTCATCGACTTGCTTACCCTAGTCTACCTGGACCCAAAGCATTTCGAAGCTATTGGCGACCAATTCTATCTGGCCCTGAAGGTGGCTAAGCATGGGCTGAAGGGTGAGGAACGAAGCAATGCCGAGCGTCTTATTTGGCGCCGCTGCCTCATCCGGGACGACTGGAAGCAAGTCAACGTTACCAACCTAAAGGATGACGAGCATCAGCTGCAAGTTCTCGGCGAGACAGCGGTCTACCGGACCTTGTTTGCCGTTGTTGATGAGCGTAAGTTTCACATCCCGTTCATGAAACATCTTCCAAACATAGTGCTCACCAGCCTCGCCATTCTAGAGCACTCAAACGACGCCTTCCGCCCTTGCATCAAGCCCTCTGATGCCCTTGGCGTCTACACCGACAGTCTCGACCGCCGCTTCGACGGTATGGATGACTCGTTCCGCCACAAGCTCATGGAAGCCATGAAGGCCGAGGACGTCAAGCTAAAAACCTTCATCGACAAGGCCCGACTGGACGAGTGGTTCAAGACCACCCTTGAGGCGGCCGAGAACACCGTCGCGACCGTGTATGGCCGTATGACGGCCAAGAAGGCGGCTGCCGCTGCGATTGCTGTCAATGGCAGCATGAGGGTCCCTCTTGAGAGCGCGAGTGCGGGTGCGGGTGCGGGCACGGTCAGCGCAGGATCGTCGTTCTGGTAGGGTTGGAAGCGTGAGATGCTCTTTGGCGTCGCTGTCTGGGCATGGCTTTGGATGTAGGACTCTGGTCGGCTTGATGGTTTGGGGGGTGTGAATGGGAGTGGGAATGTGTGTAAGACAACAGGAAAAGCAACGGGCGGGGATCAAGAGAAATAAGATGAATAAAAAGAGAGCAACGTGTTGATTTGCTATGGTTATTGTATTGGTTAAAAGCGGCGTTTTATCTCTCTGAACGTCTTTTTGCTTTGCAGTAGTGTTGGTGTTTGGGTCGGTCGGAGTAAAACAATTTTGTCTACAAACCTAGGAAACGAACGACATAGCAAGCAAAAACAGCAAGAGAGAGGCATTGACAAAAACCTGGACGAAGAGTAAGATCAAAAAAAGAGGAGGAAGGGAAAGAAAGAAAAAAGATTTGTACAAGTGTTTGACTGTTGCGTTTAGATACGCGGCTGCTTTTCTCGTTGCTTTATCAACGTTCTTATTACGAAGTCGCTCGGAACAAGGCAATCATTCATCCTACCACAGCTTCCCATGATGATGGTGATGATTAGCAACTCAGTCACCTTGCCCAGAATCACATGATAACTACATCTACCTTATTCTTCTTGTAACATAATCTCACGAAAGACCTATCCGTCATATCATTACCACAAACATGATATCCCCAAAGGTACCTTAGGCAAGGTATGCACAACCTCTTACAGACCTGTCAAGGTAGGGTAGGGACATCGAATTCAATACATTACCACACCATGGCACCTAGGTAGGTAGGTAGGTTTCCATCTGACTCCAGTCTGGATACCTCTACTCGATTTCCATTCCATGGTTGAGCGGTCGAATAAGGCAAGACCATCGAAACCGCGGTGAGAATGAAGAGGCCTCGGACTGGAGATTCTTCATAGATTTATAGAACAACATGGCGCATGGCGCATGGCGTATTGAGACATCCATCCCCCATAGTCAGTCAGGCTTCTAGATACGTCCGTTACAAATTTCATTCCCCAAAGAATCTAAGCATGGAAGAGACAGGTTGTGGCTTATGGCGTCTTTTCCACCGTGTTGATGGAAGGTCTCTTTTTTTTTTTTCGTCTTGGCTAGCTACCTTACTTTTGGCGTCTGCACTCTCCTTGGTGTTTTGTTTTGGTGGATTATTTTTGTGTTAAGAGACACCCACCCAGTCAGTCAGACGCATACAGACAGATCGATGGTAGACATAAACAGGGTTTCCGAGAAAGAAAAAAGACGGGTCTGAAGCGGTTGGCTCGGCCTTTTTTTCGTGTCTGTGTTTTTTTTTTTTTTTTTTTTTTTTTTCCTGTATCGTTCTGGGTAGACTTCTTGGTCAGATGTTTGGGGGAGTGCTTCCATTGTTATAAAGGAAACATATAAAGTATGACCTCTCTCTCCCGTGTCTTATGGATGTGTGTGGATATAGCCCACTTGCTCACGATCCGGAAACCAGTGGGATTGTGTATGACTAGAGCTACGTATTCTATGCATCTGTCTATGTATAGAATTTCATTAAGGCAGACTGGAAGTAAAGCCGGGAATTTATCTGATCTGATCTGATCGAAAGTCGGTCTGTCAGGATCGAGGCCGAGACGGGACGGGAAAGGCTTATGTTTACTATGGGTATGTGCCTACCGACATTCTTCCTCCCGTTTCTGACAATTCAGACGTCTCATCACATCTGACAGATATATCGGCTACCTATATATACGTATATCTCTAAACATAGCTTCCCAGTTCGTTTCATCAATAGAAAAAATAGGGTTGAATCGCTGATATGAATCTGGTAAAAGAATGTGCGTGTTAATCTTAACCGTAACCATTTGAGTCCACGTTTTGGTTGTGTTTGTGCTACATCAGAGCGGGCGGCATATGGTCAAATCAATCTTACTCTCTCATGTAGTTCGTAGTACAAAGGGTAAGTTCCGAGTTTCAATCTTTCAATCAATGTTTCAACATTTCTTTGATGCTGGTCTAGTCTTGTCTACCTGCCACTCGTGCCTCGGCGTCCGGAAAAGCGTGTGGAATAAAAACAGCCTGTTTTTTTTTGGTGGCCGAAGTTAGACCAAATCCCCCGGGCCGGAGTTTCTGTGTTTTCTTTTCTGTCTTTCTTTCTTTCTTTCTTTCTTTCTTTCTTTCTTTCATTCTAGAAGCTATATATCTGAGGCTCATATAGGGATGTCTGACAAGCCAGACACACCAGGCCAGGCACATGATCGAGCGGTCCCCATGATTAGACGCGTACCCCCTTCCCTAGGGAAATAACGTTATGTTTGTAATCTAGGCGTTTGTAGAGGTCATCGTCGTCGTATGTGAGGGAGATGATCTCCAGGTGGTACCTGGTACAGGTAACAGAGCAGGCAAGTATCCTTGTCCCCGTCCATAATCCAAGATTTGATTCTGGTCATTGGAGACAGGGAAGCGACTCATGCAAAATGCTCTCTCGTCAATCATTCATTCATTCAATTTTGGCTGGCTCTCTCTGCAAGCAAATTGAACCTAGGTAGGGTTGTTCGCAATACCCATGAGCTGGGCAAGATTGGAGATGGTGCCAAACTCGATTACCGGAATGGAGTCGTGCAGGTCGCGGTAAGATTTTGCCATTTCGCATTTCGCTATGGGGATGTGACCTGTGGGAGTTTGTGTGTGTGTGTCTTGTTTGAAATCGGCGACGATCGACTTCATACTCCTGGGGAATTAGCTGGGTTGGGGGGGGGGCCTGTTTTAGTTGGAAGTCGGGGGTGGTCAGAGAGCTGGGCAGCGAAGGAAAATCAAACAAACCTGAAATTGTTTTGTGATCTTCACATGGAAATGGATTCTACGAAGCTTCATCGGGGTTCCAGACCAGACGATATATCGAGTGTGTGAAGAATGAACTTTTCAGTACCTGAATGAGAATCTTGATTAAGATCCTGACACCCGGACAGGCACCACTGGACTCGAACAGATGGACCGTTCGCTGCCGCCGTGCCCGTGCCGCGATGGCTGGGGCCCCACTCAATAAGCTTCTGTTGTCGGGAAGGAACTCTTTTGCAGTTTGTTCTCCTTTTTTTCTTGTCCGGTCCAGTTCTTTTTCCATTTGAATTCCATTCTTTTTCTTCTTGCCGGCCTCTCCTTGTGAAAGTCTCCACAGCGGATCGAGGAACGACGCTTTCTCGGAGTTGCTGCTTGCGGCTGTTCCTGAGACCTTGCATAGTCATGTCTTTTTGTTCTGAAGTCTTGGGCGTACATATTTGTTCCATTTGAATTACTGGCCATGCCATTGTTGAAGAGGATTGAAGGCCAAGTGAGGAGCTGTGAGCTCAATGCAGCCGCAAAGAGGGCAGCAAATGCAAGATCATGTCTGCTGCCAGGAACAAGTTGCAGGCGGTGTGTTGTTCCTTCAGTGAACGACGCCCACTGACTGCATCCTTTCTGACCTTCTGCAGCCTTGATATTTGCAGGTTGTCCGTACAGGTAGTCTGCACTACATGATGGATGCAAGAGACAGGCCTTCTCCCGTGACCAAGAGTGAATTCATGTTGATGTTGAGTAACCCAGCTTGCAATCATGATTGATCGACCGGTCCTCGACCTTCTTTTTTCCACTTCCTTCCGCCCTTCAGCCCAAGCCCAGTCGGGAAGGAGCTGTCACAGGCGATCACCTCTCGGAACCAGCCGCGATGGCACTGCTCAACTGTTGGTGGCTAGCAGCCCCCCACTGTGAGAGCTCACCCAGAGCTCCCGTCCCAGAGCGCACAAAGGCGCGATATCCGAACTCTCAGATCGTCTTTTGTCAAACGTCTTCGTTTTCAATCAGTCTGCTAGTACGGATTGCGGGTTATACCACACAAGACCACCGACTCTCGTCTCTCGGCCCGGCCCTTGCAGTGATAAAGTAGGTAAAAGGAGAGCTCCGCATCTTCACAGTCCAAAGTGTACATATCGAACCGTTATGTGCCAGGCACACGTTTTCATCGAATGGGGACGCACGGCCTAGCAGTGGCTCGCTCGCATGCCAAGGCCGCAAGGGAGCAGCCGGCAAAATGCTCATGTTCCTTCCGCCTTCACCGCCGAGGACCGGGCATCGTGTCGTGTGGTCGTTGTCGTCGTCGTCGCCGTCCAAGTCCCTGGTGGTGTTGTTGCAGCATGTTTGACCGCGCCAATCATGCCTCCTCCTCGGTCATTGTTGAAGTTCAATAGACGCCTCTCGATGCCTCTAACCGAAACGCGCGGACAAATAGCAATTGGCAAATGGATAATCCCGAGCTCATTCAAAGGGAGAAAGGGAAACACCACCACTACTACCACCACCACTACTACCACCACCACTACTACCATCACCACCACCACCCTACACAGATCGGATCAACCGAGCACCACCCATCCAGCCCATCCACACATTGGTCGCCATTCTGGACCGGCGGCGCTTGAGAATGGATTGCATGGACAGCTGCCGTTCCAGGGTTGCATTGGCCTGCAGGCTTGGAGATGGGGCCCGCTATGGGGTACATACACAAGCGGCATAGCCTGCTGCAAAAGGTGTTGGTGGATCGCGATACTGGAATCCGTTGCCAGAGTCACAACGACTGTGAATGATGCCGACGACGCATTGTCACCTTCATTTTTGGGTGACCGAGCAACCGACAGTCGCGAGACCACCGCAGCATGAAAAGCCTCATTTATTGTCCATTTGTTTCCTTGAGTTGGCGAAATGCAGAGCGTATGACCAAAGGTGACACGACAAACCAGTTTAGCATCTGATTGTTTGGTTGCAGTCTCGGCCATGGATGTGTCTTGGAAACGGCGCAGCCTCGAGGAGCTTTCAAAATCCAACAGGTTAAAAGCAGAGCACTGGCCAGCAAGAGGTTCCTGCGTAGCAGTCAAAGGCTGGTTCACCCCCTGGCGACAGAAAATATTGGCCAGAGCTAGGAACAAAGCGAGCCAATCGTATTCCCAGAAATGAATGGGACCCCCTTGGGCCAGTACCCCTTGGCGCGGGCTGCTTGCTGATTTTGG